TCTAGTGATCATCACAGGATAGATCACTGCGCTGATTATGAAACTTTGTCAACGTCGAATACAACGACGAATCGGTTCACAAATACAATAAAACTTCTCTTATAAACAATAAACCTTTTTAAGTTATTCATACTTTATTTTTCTCTTTCAAGTAAAATTCAAAGGGTAACATCAAACCAGTATTGAAGTAAATATTGAGGATGAGGGAGAGTCCAGCTTGCCATGATCCAGATTTCGACCTTGTTGAAGGGTCTCATCAGATACCTTCGACTCTGCTACAGGTATTCGGAATGATTCAAACATGGAATCATAAACAAAGGGTGTGAGTGTGGATGTGTGGGTGTTGATGTGGGTGAGTGAACAGAACTACACCCACACCCACACCCTTCTAAATGCAATAATTACTAATTGTATTGCAGCAAATATACTATTTTAAAAACACTGAAGTGATCTATTGTAGAATAAGATAACCTATTTCAATTTTTAGATACCTGGTCATGATAATAATGTAGCTAACACACTCAGTTTATGGTCCGCAAAGGCTCGAGGAGAATATGATTTTCAATTATTTAGTACCGGTGATAACGTTCATGGTGTTGCTGAAGAAGTAAAAGAAAAGAAGGATTTGAGAATACTTTCATTGCTTGTTTTTGTTTTATAGAGTTTGACAGAAGATATTACTCGAGTATCATATTCAAATGACGATTTCAATAGATTTATTTTTGCTTTGAATATTTATGCATACTGTTCTTGTTTTTTTGTCTTAGCTTGATGATGAGAAAATTCTTCGTTTAAATCAAGAATACTTTTTATTATCAGTATCAGTATCATTAAAAGATATTATTCGACGTTTTAAACATTCAAAATCATTTTCAAACTACCCACACCGACACACATCTTCCATGAAATATTTTTAACTATTTAGAGGAACTCGTCGTTGAAGGATGCCGAACAGTATCCATTTGTCATCGATATTCGTAGTTGTAACCTATGTTTTATCGATTGTCTATTATCTATCGAACGAATACAATACTTTTTGCTTTAACTACTCGTCCATAGATTCTTCCCCATTGAATTCCGTCAATAGATCGTACAGTCAAAAAATAATAGGTGGAGGTATGTGAAAAATTCTTGCTCACAACAACGAATAAAATTATTAGGAATCGCTCTAAGAAAACATATGAAATACATAGCTCATTATGCCAGCATTATCTTCCTAACTTGATGGTTTATTGAGGATCTAATTAGTAACCAAACCTGCTCATTTCGATGTTGTTGAATAGAAAAAAATTCAATGTGCAATAAGGCGAAATTTCAGAGTCGATTAAGACAGAAAGATGTTCTGAAAGTAAAAGGAAATGAAGAATGACTGTGGACAATGTCAGTTGTCTAAGTTTTCAATATTGAAGCATAGAAGAAAGATAGAAAATTTTCTGGGACAAATGTTTTATTTCATTGAGCTCAAAAGTTTGTCTTTGATTCTATGAGTCGTCATTCTTTGACAATAGATCAAACTATTAGTCTCATAAGTATCCTATTTTTCATGTCGACAATGGCACCATCTACTATTGATATCGATTTTCATTGGCGGCTACACAAGCAACAAAATAACTATGGTGAACAATTTATTGAATTCATTGTCATCTTATAATCAAGCATAATAAATAACAGATGTTTCTTATCAAATTGTATTTATCGATGTAAGTTTGTATGTTAGAATATAAACACGACAATATCTTCATTTTCACTAATTCATTCTTCTACAATCTATTTTTAAGATTATAATAAAAATGCTATTGGAATCGTTGGCTAACGAGATCATAATCTCTAGTGAATATTATTTGGAATCTACCGAAATTGATTTATTGTAAAATAAACATGAATCATTTTCCTATGCCAACAATCGTTTCAATATCTCTTGAACATCTCATTGTCGTTGGTCGTTGCTTGTACTTTTTTCACGATATAGTTCACTTAGTCAAATATACGCCACATCTGGGACAACTGACTCTACCAATGAAAGAAATGCAGTCTACCGATCATGAACTATCATCATCTTTGACCTCCATCATTTCAATGAATATAGGATTTTTCGGCGTACCAGAACATAGGATAATCAATTTTTTCCAAAATATGCTCAATCTCTGTCGACTAACATTCCGTATGATGCACTCATATATCGATGGACACAAACTAGAACAAATTATTCGAAATGATTTAATCAAATTGAAAATACTCCAATTCGAAATGTCTACCAGCTCAGATAATGAGATTAAAATAGAACTGGTTAGCGGACTACTCCAATCGTATTCAAGTCCTTTTTGGCTTGAAGAACATCGTTGGTTTGTTTGATGTGATTGGCAATGGAATGATAAAAAAGTCTATCTCTATACTTTGCCATATGCTTTTAATGAATTTCGTATTGATCTGTCGATTCGATCACAATCAACCTGTTTTCTTGATCATGTTTATAAATGGTCTTATAATCGAGTGCAGAAGCTAGTGATGTGGAATACTCCCGACCAAAAGTCACCTTCACCCAATATTTACTTCTCAAAGGTCAATTGTCTTTGTTTATCGATTCCGCCCAATAATCAATTCGTGTCGCTTATCTCAAACTTGGTTCATTTGACATCGCTCTATATAGTCTCATATAAGCACAGTCCAATAAATGACTTGCAACTGCAAGCCTTACTCGATCGATTATTCCATCTTCATCGATTACACTTTGTTACTTGCGTGCATTTAACTTGGGCAAAACCGCCATTTCAACTGAAACACACATTGATACGTGAATTAGGTTTGAAAAACATTAAGTACAATAATGAACAATGTGCAGCACTGAGTCGTTCACCCCTTGGCATGCAATGTGAAGTGCTTTATATTCATGCCAAAAATCGAACCTGTATACCTGATCTTGTTCAAACAATGGTCAATCTTCGACTCTTATATGTTGTATGTTATGAGAATCGAAGAAATCGACAATAATCAGACACAACGGATCAGCTTATTGAGTGGCTACAGTCTCGTATCTCATCAAAATGGACGATCGCAAGACATAGCTACTGTTCTTCTCCTCTTGTATTGTGGATTCGTTGATAAAGTACAAATGATTTATAAAATATTAGGTTGGAGATTGATGTCAGGAATTTTTTTTTTTTGTGACTTACTCGAGAGATTATTTTTTACAAAGAAATGAGTTCGTTGAGTAACATGCATGATTTGTAACTTCAATGTTTTACTTTTTACAGAGACAAGTTTCGGTAAAAATAGATTTTTGTCAAAGTTTCGCTTTTTCTGATTGGATCCATTTTCAAATGAGAACGTCAGAATTAACATTTGTAAATAAGCGGCGTGAAAAACATTTTTTTTTGTCAAAATTGAATTTTAACAGAGAATTAGTTAAAATATCTCAACATTTTTTCAATAGATTATTCTTATTAAGGCGTGTGTCTATGCAAATTTTCGGTCGATATTCTCTCTTTTTCCATTATGTCTTCAGGAGTACAACGACAGTCGGCTACAATTTGCGGTAAAAAAACACTATCGCAGCCGTTCTACACTACTATGGTATAATTTTTTCAGAATATTCATGACTCATTAGAACCTATATGACGTGCATAGTTTTGACTTAAGGATAATTTTACACTTGGATATGTTGACTTGTTCGTTTCTCTTCAATTCAAATAAAATGTTATTTTTCAACATATTTCCATTTGATAAATCTTCATTGAGCAACAAAATAAGAGAAATAAATTAAGACTTGATTTATAATTGTATGATATATTTTAATGCTCAAACCTACTTTGAACAAATGAAAAAAGTACATACATTTTTATTTGTTTAATTTTTGGTCTTTTTTTTAATACTATGATTATCATCAGAACAATAGTAATAAGGTAATTGTAGATTAACTGGACCTAGTAGGTAACCAATAGCACCACTAATAACATTATCAATAACTATAATAATATATAATACAAACATAAATCAGGTTTTGATTTATTTCTCTTATTTTGTTGTTCAATGAAGATTTAATTGTTTCATTAAAAATCTACGTTTTCTATCACGTATATGTATTTATATAAGAAACTAAGCATAGCTATTTTTTCAATTTCTCTTTTTAGAAATTTCAACAATTAATGATTACATTCAAATAGTGGTGCTGTCGGTTACGTAAGAGATCCTGCTGATTTATGATCACCTAATTATTATTATTCTGATAATGGTTGTATTATTAAAAAAAGACCAAAAGTTAAACAAATTAAAATTTATGTATTCTTTTCATATATTCAAAATATAATTAAAAAATAAAAAAATAAATAATACAAATGTAAATCAAGTTTTGATTTATTTTGAACATATGTTCATTCAGTTTTTATATGAATTTGTAAATCTTTAAAGATTATGATTAATTATTTGAACATGCTATCTTATATGAGTTGACTATTGTTTGGGTGAGGGTGAGGATGTGTGAATGGAAAGAAAAACCACACTTATACCAACATTCACACTTCCAGCAACACTCACATCCACTCGAAGAAAAGATGTTTGATGTTCGTTGATCTCAAGCACATTTCTATCCAAGTGTTACTGGACGCAAAGTACATGATAAAACATCACTAGATGCTCATCATTGCCAGACCAATGTCGGTCAATGTATTCGATTCCGTGATGTCATTCAGGCAATGATTCAAGATCAAGTGGTGCATAGCTTTCTCGAAATCTCATCACGTCCTGTTAGAACCACATGATTTCAATGGTACTGTGAGGTTATTTGCTTCCTTAGTTGACCAGTTCGAACTATAGAGATATCAATTAATTAAAAATCAATAGAAATAGCATGTTGAGTTAGTTCAAGAGAGATAGAGTGTATAAAAAAAAATAGAAATAAAGTTCTCAGCTGCATCGAAAGTTACTTATGCATTGCACACGACAAATAAGGTCGAATTGTACAAGTCAGTCTTATGCATCGAACATTCTGCACGTAGTTGTCAAATTCATAAAAATAATTCTTCTGGCAAAGAAGATCTCCATTGCATAAGAATTGCAACATTGTCACATATTAAATTATAAACACATCCAACATTTGATTCTGGTGTGTAGTGTGAATACGTAGATATCAAATATTTGGATATATTCGGATATAGAGTTATGAATGGTCCGGTAAATTTACCTTTGTCTACATCAAAAATCCACTGATCCAATTGATTGTAACTTATTGGTATATGTTGATAATCATAATGCGATGAGAAATTGAAACAGATAATTGCTTGATTCTTACAATATTGTGGTGGTTGAGAAGTATCCAAATATTTTAGTTTTTTCGATATGAAGTTAATATCTTTTAGACCTCGCGACAAAAGACGATCTTCAACCTGTCGAATTACGACATCTTCATGAGCAGCAATATAGACAAATGATAGATTTTGATGCCATTTTATAGGCTGCCCATGATGCAATGCATAAGTGAAAGCAACGGATGATTCGACGTTCGATTGAATTTCCTGGGGTGATGTGCACTCTGAAATGTACTTGAGAAAATAATCAAGTTCAGCATACACTAGAACATAATTTTGATTGCATTCAAAAGCCAGAACGATGACCGATTGAAATATCTCATTGACCAATTGGTCAGCAAAAGACATTTCAATATGGAAAGATGGATTTTCGTATTTTAATTGTCGAACAAAGTCAAACGAATACTGCAGTACTTTATTAGAATCGATATGAATGTGAAGGTTCGTTACTGAGCCCAATAACTCCTGAAGACACTCTTTAACGAAATTTTTTGGATAGTTTTGCATATCACTGATATTGATATCATCTTTTTTCCAAAAACCACCGTGATGTTGTTCAATAAACTGTCGAACAATTGAAGGAGTAACAGCTTTAATATTGTGCTTAACTATAAGGGAACTTAAATTGATACAGTCGATAGACGATAGGTAACTGGATCTTTCGTTCAATAGAGAAGAGTGAAAATCGGCTGCTAGACCAAATTGATGTGCCATAGGATCATCTTGATTGTTTTCAGAAATATTCTCTGAGAATTTTCCACCCAACAGTTTCGCACTCATATTAGTGCCAAGCCAATTAAGTTCAGATGTTTTCGGTAATGAATAAGAAATGCTTGGTTTTTCGCCCACTATTGACCTTAGTTGAGCTAATTTAGCATGAACATTGTCCCATTTCTTATTGCTGTTAGTGGTAGTGGTGCGTGTTTCTCGATGATTGTAAAAAGCTGAGTAACTATATGAAATTGGTTTCCCCCTAGCACAATCCATATCAATTGTTGTATGAATGGGATCAACCAAACCATTTGACATCAACAAGTCCAGGTTCGGTGTTGCACTGAATGTATTATATGCCATAAATATAGAGCATGGAATGATTTGACATTTTTCTATTGTATCAATAAAATGTATTTTTTTCAATTCAAGTAGCTCTGTATATGAATCATACACTTGTAAATGATCAATTTTAACACAAAATTTCAGTTGTGATATATTTATACCATTCCAAACTGACGATGTTCCTTCCAGTTCTTGACGTAAACATTGGATCAATTTACGTTGATCTGATTCTTTTGTAGAACTGAAAACTGGTATGATACACCATTTTCTTTCGTCGTTATTTATATTACAGACTATCAAGTCTAGATCTTCATATAGAATATCAATTGAATAGACTTCAGCATGTGGAAATGCACATTGTATCAGATGTAAATGTTCTGTTTCAAATGAACCACCATAATCAACGATGACTGGCATAGGTTTCGATATCGACTGGTCAATCTGATCAAGCAATTTATTCAAGTCACAACCAGATGGCGTTTTTTCAAATGTTGAATAAAATAATTGACGATAAAAATATATCGCTTCTTCCATCGTGTAATTCATCATGCAAATGACTCTTGGGAATGTTTCATAACACATTGGCATGATTGTAGATGGATTTCTCAATGGATGTGCTTTCTCTAATTTTTTTGCTAGATCAGCGCTAATAGAAAATATGTCTGTCTTAATATCAGCCGCTGATTCTTTGAATTTATCAGATGAGCATAGAACCTGAACTGTGTTACGCTTCGTCCACATTGTACATGAAAATATAGATCTTTGAAGCTAGTAATAACCTTGTATCAATTTTTTCATACAGAGATAATGTCGGTTGGATCCTAAAAACGTGACTTATTTACGCACAAATTTAATGCAATGGAGATAAAAGTTCTGTGACACTTGATGACGACTGATCTAAAGTTTATATTCCATTTAATTTTATCTTTATCTATATGTTGAATATTTTTAGTAGGAAAGCTATCATATTACACTGAGCAAACTTGAAACTATTACTTTCAATATTAATTGAAAATGAACAAATTTTTCAGCGATAAAAAGTTCCATGGTAGTTTAGATTTTTTTAAAAAGATGTTCCTAGAATCAGACATGGGCAAGTCAAAGATTTCTCAAGACGCAAATCAACTTCCAACTTTTAATTTTTCAATCTTAACGCTTTTTCGATCGAACTGTAGTTTCGATGCTTTAATTCTTTATGAAAAGCAAAACTGTTACTTTATAGGCTTCAGAATAATAAGAAACATCTCGTAAATGAAAAATGAAAACTTTTCTGGGTATCTGTCTCAATGAACAATAAGCTGACTATCTTATGTTTAAGCTCTTGAAAGATTTTGTCACGAGCAATTTTGAACATGGACGATGATGATAATGAAGGAAGAGATGTAGTTCTCTTGCTAACAGTAACAGGAAAATTGTTTCTTCATGTCTCTAGATAATCAAACAATAAGTCATGGTCGCTTACAGAGTTGTTTTCGAGGTCCATGCTCAAATCAGAATAGATTAGCAATAATTCTATCAAAAATTGTGCAGTTAACCACTTATGGTACTTTTGAGTCATCCAGAAATCAACGTTGGTCGATCGTATGACGAACAGAAATAAAAGTTTTCTTAGCGTATTTCGAACCTTCTTGTTTACGGCTGTACATCTTTTATCTATCAAAAATTTTCAAATTCTTAATTTTTTTTCTATTAGAATATCTAATTGTAACTTAAAGATAAAAGCTAATAGTGCATGAAGCACTTGATTATCCATATTATTTCGATTTGAAAATAACTTTGTCTCAAAAATCAAGTCAACAATAACTTGACTTGCATATCTCTGCCTAAAACAAAATCACTTTGTTATATTTTATCTACCAGTCCACAAGTTTCTTCTTTCGTTAGTTATTTTCCTTTTGGAATCACTTAGAAAATATATAACAATATTTTTCGCGATTTCCGACTTCTCCTAGAAGCATGCATAGTTTTCGACGAAGTTACTTCTACGAAAAATATAGCCTTGGCTTTTTTTTCGTGCCTGTAACAGTGAAACTGTAACTTTTTCCATCGTCTCCAATCTTCATATGAGCGTGTAAATAAGTTGGATTTAACTAGTTTGTGCGTGTGCACGCGTTTTTCCTGCATTTCTGCGTGACTGGGTTGTAGGCACTTTGTAATAAATACATGTATTTTATTCGAAGCCATTTAAAAACAAAATACTCAAAACCTTTGAACACTCTGGTTGAAATATTTGATGAAACACAAGACAGGTTCTGAAAGAAAAGAAGTCAACGTATCTGTCTATGGCAAAAACTCAAGTTTTACTTTTGGGAAAATTGAAGTTCTGACGGAATCGATTGAGAAAAGTCACAAAAAATATTATATTTGTTTGGCTTACTTACGGTGTTGCTCACCACTGAATTCATTCCTTGCTATTCTAATTGATCGACAGTAAGAACTACTATTATTTCTGTCAGCATATTATTAATGGGTGTCCGAGAAATAATAGATCTCTCTGTATATTAAAGATATCTCTTTTAATATTCATTTTCTAAAGACTTGTCTTTTATTTTTCTAAAAAATAATGTAGTTTTTATTAATGTAATTGATACCTATCATTTTTCAAGACATGTATCAGATTATATTAATAACACCTTTTAATTTTTGTATGATTTTTTTTAATAGAATTTTTTCGAATGAATGCAATATGCAAACTCAGATTATTTGGAGGTCAATGATCTTTGATGATGAAAGATAAATAACTGTCTTGATACCACAGTTGTATGGATTGATGAATGGACGGTTTCGAATTTCCGTTCTCTGGAATGTCTCATCTCTTCTACAGATCTCATTTCCATATTTTAGTACCATTGGAACAACATTCTGGATGTATTGAGTGTTATCCAGTGTTCCAAATTTCTATTGAAAAATATATCATACAAAAACTAAAAGGGGTTATTAATATAATTTGATAGAGATCTGTTTTTCAAAATTGTTCACCTTTGACTATTCGTTTGATGCATGTCTTGGAATATAATAGGTATCATTTACATTAATAAAAATTATATCATTTTTTAGAGAAATAAAAAGAGAATCTTGAAAAAAAAAAAGTTTAAACAAATGAATATTAAAAGAGATATCATTAAAATACAGAGACCCATTATTTTTGGGATGCTCGTTATTTTCTATGTTCAGTCAAATATTTTACTCTTGAACATTTTTGTGTCCTTAAAATCAAAATATGGTGATGATGACAATCTACTTACAATGAAAATAACACTGGAATATATGAGGTTGTTTTTTCTTGTTCAGTGATCAACTGTTTCACGTGCTTATTGTTGAAAGGAAATGATTAGGTTTTTTCCAATCGATGTTTATTTACCTGTAGAAATGAAGTATCCCCTCTTTCACAACGTGCACAATACACACAAAATAAATACGTCACATCCTCAGTCGTATTCTGTTCTGTCGCAATATTGATTCGCTCTATCATTTATTTGATACTTTCATTTGCGTTGTTGCCTTCTTTTAGTGACTAAACGCATGTTAATATTATCAAACGCACTAGCATAATGCAATTTTTATAGTTGATACGCATGCTCTAAGATTTTATCATTTGGAAAATGTTTGCATTTAGAGTTCCTGTTATACGAATTTATTGGATTCATTTAATATCGTTATACCGAAAAAAAAAATTCTTTGTTTTGTCAGATATATTTTCAATACATAACGTTTTTTCTCATAATAGTAATATATATGATGTATAGGATATGAAGCGGAAAATATCATTTAATTCTTTGTTTTGTCGATTCATCATCCATATTAGTCTGCTATTCACATTGATTTAATCCTTCAGCAAGTTATTACGCACACCATAGTTTCTCTCGACGAATATTAGCATACATTGTTGATTTTTTTCCAAACTTAGAATTCAATTAGTTCATACTTTTCGATGTTCATCCTATTCTTGGTCTGCTAGATTAATAAAACCATCGCCCTACTGATCAGCACCCACAGAAAGGCCTTTTCGTGGCAATAAATACCAAAACCCATAGTATTTATACTAATTAGTTTCTACAGTCGAACCCTTTGATTCATAAAATAATGCTTTCAAAGATTCTAGAAAGTTCCAGAATGATCTAAGCACTGTTATTACTGACGTCTTTTTCTTGTCGCTACGAAAGCGTGCACAATAATATATGACATCCCTACTTTCCCAGTTACTAGAACCTAGAGAAGGACCGCAAAAACCTCGATTGAAAATTCCATTTACTATTATTTTCTGCAAAAATCATACTGAATTCCACAAAAGATCTTTGATGATCTTTTGCGACAAGTACCTTATTTCTAAGGTATCTTTGAGATAAGCTTTACCCAACCATGAGTTATAAGCATTTCACTACCTGTTATCGGCAAAAACTTCGCGGAATATCCTGAGAAAGCTTGTCAGCAAAATCCAGTATACACGATTCAGTGCAGTTTCATCTTCTCTTTTAAACGGTGAAAATCATAGCTCCCATATCTTGTTTCTATCAAAAATTATTTCAAAAATACTCATCCTTGTTTTTTTAAATGGATCATAGTCATTGAAATGCTGAAATTCATCTTCCATAAATAAAACACGAACTTTCTTGCAAAATTCAGGGTTTCATATTTGAAAATGCAAAACTTTGTAACCGTTAACTTTTAGAATAACTCATTATTCTAAACTTCTACCACTAACCAAAAAATCAGGCAATTTGCTTGAACCAATGTGGAGATACTTCAATTTTTTATTGTAGCGCTATATATATGTCCCAAGAAATACGACACTATATAGATAAGTTTGTCGGATTACTCACCGTATGACTCACCTGGAAAAAAATCAATGGTTCTCTTATTCACACTCTTCTTCCCTTTTTTGCATGTTATTTTTTTTTCATATGTTATTCTTGACAAACAACTTAGTTAATTCTTTATTATTGTGTGCGCTGATGGAAGAGGGTTGTCTTGCATAATTCAGTGGTCTCTTTGCCTGTAGATTATTTTCATGATGAATGATCAAAGTAAGCAAATCGTTAATAAACGCAAGCGGGCATTTTAATATGGAAATAATCGAAAACGCTCCTCACAGGTAAATACATCGTCATTTGAATTTGAAGAGTACTTCAATTTTCGTTTCTTTTTCAGACTAGACGCATCGGATATATCGTGCTAGATGGCAATTCTGATCCATTTAGTAATGATGCTGTAAGTGGTTTGCCAGATTTTTTTTTCTTCTCTGTTCGTACTCTGAAGCTGTATGTTCTATGGTTTATTCTAGTTGGTTTATAGACCATCTGTCATATCTGAAGTCAGAAGAGAAGATGAGTTAATTGGCAAAACAAGTCCTAGAAATGTAGAATCGAGTAAGTAGTTGTTCAGGAAAAAAAATAAAATAGATGAAATTATCTTTGAAATTTCTCTTTTGATCAACTCAATCTAGAATCTGTACCAAATGAATTACAGCGTGAATTATTTGGATATTTGCCAGGGATTGATCTCTTTCGTGGTTTATATCCACTCAATCGACGATT